TCCAATTCAGGTGGTCTACGGGGTTCGACCGACCTTCCTCACCTCGGGTGTGCCAGCAGAGAGGTGGGTTGAAGAACCCGAACTGGACGTCGTGACTATGCTATAAACATACTTCATCAGTCACCTTCACTTGCCACTGGTTTTCAGGGAATAGGATAGATTAGGTATCCAGTTGAAACTTATGGGTCTGGCAGCTTCTGCTGTGCTCCTTGTAACCCACAAAACCTACTCCATGGTGCAAGGGTAGATCAACTGAGCCTGCAGTTTAATTAGCTGGTCACCAAGGGTATCCTCATCCATTACTTCCCCAGAACAGTAGAATCGACTATAGAGAATAATATATATACCAGCACCCTCCAACAGGTCTCGTCTGGTGGCTTTTGCAGACTTAAAAGTGGCAGGTGGTGACCTGTTGGAGGGTGCTGGTATATATACCCTGTGGCGTCAATACATGCAGTTACTTTAGTCGAGGACATTGCCTGAGATTAAGCAAATTTAACTCATGCGTTGGCCAATGACTAGATTGTTGCGGTCATTATTGGCCATCAAGGCTCAACATTGCACATGCAATAGACTATAGAGAATATATGAGAATATATTCATCTATAATATACATTGTCTCATTCTATCGCCCTACCCAAACGCTTCGTAAACGCTCCGCCCGACTCCTGGTCCCGAACCAAACCGGATATCCCTTCGACCCCGTCGACCCGTTCGGAGAACTCCCGGGGTCATCTTGGTTCGGGGCCGGTCGACCGGGTCGCGTCGTCGATTGAACACCGAACATTCAGGTGGTTGGAGGGAGGGTGTCTCCCATTCCCAGTTCGGGCTCCAGTCGTACCTCCTCAGGTGTTTGGACCCTCCCACCCCAGTCTTAGCTTCTTAGAAGGCACTTCTGGATTCAGAGTGAACACCAAAACATATCACTTCGACCTCAAAAACCTATCGGGCTTGGTGAGGTTTCCCCGTTTGACCCCTGGACCTAGATTCGGATGACCAGGTCCGACCCCTGCTATGGACCGGTTCGGGGGCGACCGGGTCGCGTCTGGGTATGACCATTCCCAAGAGAGGTGGATAGTGACCTGAACTAGACCCTGGTCTGTGGTGGATGGGCGAGCTTTCAGGCTGTGAAAAACCTCTCTCCCAGACGCTCCGTTCACAGCCCGACCGGTCCCTCAAAACCTAGGGATTTGAGACCCCAGATCCCTCCAGAGGATTCGGGTCCGACCCCTCCATAGGTTCGGGGCCGAACGGGTCGCGTCTGGGCTGGGTTATTCTCAGGGAAGGGTCTATCGACCCCCTGACCACCGACCGATGCGTGCGCAGGTCACGTGCTGCACGACCTCCGCTCCCACGCGGCGGTCCGACGCACGCGCCGGTGAGTTCGATGAAAAGGCATCGAACGGAGGGAGGGGTCGAGAACGGACTCAGCTGGTGGTTTCTGAGAATGGCAGGAAAAAGGTCGGTGAATCTTAATTATATACCAGGACCGACACCGAACTCGAGGTGTCTATTAAGAACGCCTCTTTGTGATGACCGGGGTGTCCAAAAAACCACCCGACTTGGTTTCGGTCCTGGTATAGTCCTATGTGCTTTAAGAGTCCGGTCTGTAGTGGTCTGTAGTGGTCGTTCTACACCCTCAACCACGAAGTGTGCAGTGGAACACATCACAGACGTGCAGTTCCACACCATCCCTTCAGCAGTTCCATGGAAAACCTGAGTAGCTCTTAGACCCATCGGACTCGGGGGCACCCCAGGCTCGAGTGCCTCCTTCTTCCATGCAAGCGTCTCGTGTCCTTCGTCCAGCGTCTCGGCGACGCTCAGCGCATGGCGCGTTGCCAGCCTTTCAGAAACCTATCACTTCAATCCACGGGCCCAATCCAGTCGATTGATGACATGATATGTCATGACCACGTTCCGTCTTCAGACTCTTCAGCTGTGTCGTCTGCGCTTTGCAGCTCGGCGCGTTTCAAAGGCACCGGGACCAATAGACTCAACGGAGTCCGGGATGGTCAAGTTCAACAAAGAACTGCAACGAGCAAAGGCACCATCCCCAATGTGTGTCACCGAGTCCGGAACGGTCAAGTCAACCAAAGAGTTGCAACCAGCAAAGGCATAATTCCCAATGTGGGTCACAGAGTCTGGGATGGTCAAGCTTGCCAAAGAGCTGCAACCAAGAAATGCAGTGTTCTCGATGTGGGTGACAGAGTCTGGGATGGTCAAGCTTGCCAAAGAGCTGCAACCAGTAAATGCACTGTTCTCGATGTGGGTCACAGAGTCCGGGATGGTCAAGCTTGCCAAAGAGCTGCAACGAGCAAA